GGGAGGGGGGGGGAGCGAGGGTGTGTGCGCACGCGCGGGGGAGCTGTGGTGGCGGGGGTTCTGTTGCTGCTGGGGTTCTGTTGCTGCTGGTGTTGGCTGCAGGAGACCGGGAGGTGGAGGCACTCGCTGACGAGACGAGTTTCCTTTCAGAGTTGTCTGGAGGTGTAAGACATCTGTTGCTAAATTTTTTTAAGAAATGTATGGGTTAAAAACAGGCGCTTTACGCGTTAAACTTCCCCTCAGGAAGTGCCGCTGGTAGCGGCTGGGGGGGCTCTGCGGTGATCCCGCGCGTCCGCCTTGGCTCCTTAACTACAGTAAAGGCTGATGTCTCTTGCACGGTTCCTGGCTTTTCCTTTGTTCTTTTGGAGCAATTAAAAGAAAAACATCGGTGTAATTACTTCCTGCTTGTTTCTGGCCGTGTGTACGGATGTCTGTGATCCCCTCGGTGCGGAGAGCCGTGAGGTGATTGAAGCGGCGGGGGGTTTCTCCTCGCCGCGCTCTGAGCGGGTCCCCCCCCCGGCTGCTCTCTGAGGGGGGCCCCTCCCCGGCTGCTGTCACTCTGTGTACCCTGAGGCCGTGCCCTGTGAGTGCTTTGCAATGGCTGAGAAAGTGTTTGCTGTAAAACTACTTCATTAGCGTTTGCATCTCATTACAGTGTATTAACTGACTGAGGTGTAGCGTTAAAAAGTAATTAAAAGTCTTCTCTAGCTGTTTTAAATGACTTCTGTAACCTTGCTATGTGTTAGTTTTTATTATAATTGAAGGCATGCTGTTAACTACCTTACCTAAGTCTGTGCAGTGTATTAATCTCAAAACTTGTACCAATAGCCGCTAATTTGGAAAAATCTTAGCTCTGCTGTTCATTAATTTGAGTAACCTTAGCACTAGGTAGACCTCTAATAAAAGCAAGTGAATGTTTTGCAATTTCTCTTATTACTTAATGGCTATCTTTAAAATTGCATGTATTTGTATTCAGGAATAATATTTGTTTGCATTAAGAGGTGAAATCTTCAGTATGTTCTTCAGTACACTGTAGGCTCTCCCTGCAGGAGTTTTTACTAGAAAAAGTAATCTGTTTCTCGTGCAAGTATATATACCAAAGTGAAAAGTCTCTTGTCTCATTTTAGCCACTACATTTACAGTAGTGTATAGTTTTTTCTTTTTTTAATTTTTAAAAATTTTTCTTTTTAAACTTGGTATGTTGTGACTCTTCCTTAGACAACCTTTCAAGTTTTGTGCACAAGGAGAAGCTTCACATTCCTTACTTCAGTCAGAAATTGTAATAGGTAGTCATGTAATTCTTCCTGGATTTTAAGATATTCCTGGGCTACTTTTGTTTGAAGGCTATATTATTCTAAAACACTACTGAAATCTGGCAGTATTTTCTAATAGGTGTTTCAGGTATTTGCCTTGACTATTGAATGCAGAGAGTTAAATATATTAGCACAAACTGAGAATAATAGAAGGAAATGTTTACTTCTAAGTGCGTAATGTTAATAGTGTAGTATAAAATAGGTTCATAACACTTTATTAACTTTCTTGGATCTATCCATCTACTCTTTTAAACTTTGCTTTTTTGACTAAGTGTTCCTGCTTGTGCGATTCTGTCTTGTTTCCTTTCACAGTAAGTGCATATAAGGGGTATGAGCTCCAGTTACAGGAATTCTGTTCACTTCAAAAGCCGCTAGGAAGGGTTGTAACATCTGTGAATGCATCATGCTCATGCTGCTCAGTGTTTGCAGCTTAGAAAGTTAAAAACATACAACACACTTGTCTGTTTCCCAGGGATTAATGTTTTCTAAATCAGTTTAAGGCTAAATAACCTGTTGAATATGTTTCAGCAGCTGTTTGTGTTGTGAAAGTGACATGTTATTTAATATATTTTGGGGGGTGTTGGTCAACAACTAACTGAATATGAGCTGGCAGTGTGCCCAGGTGGCCAAGAAGGCCAATAACATCCTGGCTTGTATCAGATATAGTGTGGCCAGCAGGACGGGGGAAGTGATGTCTCCCCTGTACTCAGGACTGGTGAGGCCCCACCTCAGATACTGTGTTCAGTTTTGGGCCCCTAATGACAAGAAAGACATTGAGGTGTTGGAGCACGTCCAAAGAAGACCAAAGAAGCTGGTGGCAGGTCTAGAGAACAATTCTTATGAGGAGCGGCTGAGGGAACTGGGGTTGTTTAGCCTGGAGAAAAGGAGGCTGAGAGGGGAGACCTTATCGCTCTCTACAACTACCTGAAAGGAGGTTGTAGTGAGGTGGGTGTTGGTTTCTTCTCCCAAGTAACAAGTGATGGGATGAGAGGAAATGGCCTCAAGTTGCACCAGGGGAGGTTTAGATTAGATAAGAGGAAAAAATTCTTCACCAAAGTGGTTTATCAAGCATTGGAACAGGCTGCTCAGGGAAGTGGTTGAGTATTTAAAAGGTGTGTAGACGTGGCACTTAGGGATGTGGTTTAGTGGTGGACTTGGCATTGTTAGGTTTATGGTTGGTCTTCGTGATCTTAAAGGTCTTTTCCAACCTAAATGGCTCTGTGATTCTATATTGCTCTTTTATTTGGTGGTGTGCATGGCAATTATTGTAGCAGAGTTGTCACTGTACTTGTTTACGATACCTTTTCTTACTAGTTCACTCTTTTTAGACTGGATGATTTAGCTTTGCCAGTTTGACTTACTACTAATACTGGACTATGTGCCAGTTTCTGATGACTTACAAATGTTATTAGGAAACTGTTGGGTGTCTGCCCTCCTTGTGCTTTGTACACTGGCTGTTTTCTTTCAACTTGTGCCATCTTGCTTCCAGAAACTTGCCACTTGAGTTGGAGTGAACATTAATGATGGCAGAGTCTCTCATAGTTTTTAGGGCTATCCCAGGTCTTTCGCATCTAATACATCTGATGCTTGTCTGGTGTATCATGGAGTTAAAATGCTGTCATAAGAATTTAATTAATTTTCAGTTTATTTAAATATAACCTTGTCAAAGCAATAGTCCAATATTTGACTTTCCTTTTTTACTGGATTTCTTCAATTAAAGTGTCTAATTACTGGTCTGTCACACTTCTTTGTTCACATCGTCATCTGCTTGTTCATGAGTATATCTATTTACGTGGCATTATTCTAGATATTTTACTGACTTGAACTCAAAGAAAGGGAGGTCTGGTGCCTTGCAGCATGAACATGAGTGAATGGAAACTGCCCATTGTGACTGTAGCAGAGAGTGTCAGACACAGTTGATGTGTAGTCATGAGAGCAAAGCTATGGTGTATAGAGAAGTGCAATGCATGTGGTTGCATTCTGTCTCGGGTACTACACCCGCAGAATGTGATGTTATGCTTACCTTTCTGTGAGTCCCAAGAAAATGGGTGTGAAGGTGGAGATAAAATAGCCAATGTAGTGTTCCCTACTGAAGGAAAGGTGGTTACAGCTCAGCTATGGAGCTAGCATCTGGCTGGTGACAGGATTTAACAGGATTCTCAGACTAGGTACCACCGGTTCCCTTGTTGTATGGCTAGGGGGCGTGTAGGGGAACGAATGAATGATTGCTCTTGTGGCCATGGAAGGGAATTCATAATAGTGAGGAAGGGAGCGATAAGGAATTATAAACTTGTTGGAAATTAGGCTCTGCTGATGCTTTTGCTTATTGAATAGATTAGGGCTATTATTAAGGTTTGTACAGTTATTTCTAAGTGACAGCAACTGTTGGAGTACAGTGTTCTCTGTTCTTGCTGCTTTGCCAACATTCAGTGTGTTTAACAAGATGTACTTGCAGTTTTCCCTGAAATCCTTTAGTTTGGTTGGTTTGCTATGACTACCAAGAAAAGCTTTAGCTAACAGTTTCATCATCTTGCATCTTGGATTCATGGAAGGCTTTTCTCAATCTATTGTTATATTGCCAAATAATCTAGGATCATTCAGTGCAGGCTTTGTTTATCTGTTCTCTTGATAAATATTTCTAATGGTTTTGGAAGGTGTTTATTTAGGTACATAGTTGAAATGCCTTAAGCTTGGTAAGAATTCAGAGTGATTTGTAACCATGCAGGTATAAAAAACAATGAAAAGCCTTCATGTAACTGTTTATTCAGTTGCTTTATAAAGCTAAACTATTTCAGCTCTTCTGATGTCATGATTGACTTTGTATGCCAGTGTGGGGTTTTTTCCTGGCTAAGCAAATAGTGCAGTTGGTGCTGAAATTTAATCTAAAAGCTTCCTTTCTCATTTATGTAGTTTATGAAGATGGAATTTAGAATTCAACACACATGGGATGGTTTACCTGTGAGCCATGAGCCAGTAAAAATTGGGCTGAAGTCAGACAATGCAGGACTGCTAATGGAAGTTAATGCTCCCTTCTTTAATGATCCTCCAGCACCACTTGGAGAGGCAGGGAAACCTTTTAGTAGGCTGTGGGACTATGAGGGTAAGTGTACCTGTTCTGCTGCAAATATCTGATTTGTGTAGACACTGATGTTCCTCTACAGTTAATAAGCCTGCTCTTTATTTAAGAGTCTGGTGATTATTTTTTGAAACTGATCTAATGGCTGTAAGTATATGTCATCTAATTCAACTCAATTTCTTTAGTCACAGTACTGTTTTTAAAGATCAGATTTGAAATGTAAAATTTTTCCAGAGCACTCTGGGAAAGAATTGCAATGTAATCACTGCCTGACTCTTAAACAGCTCTTTAAGTATCTATAAGCCTCATACTATATTCAGCTGTAAACTACCCCAAACTTTGGAGAGTGGTGCTCTTTTTCTAGGTGGTGAATTGATTTTCATCACCAACACTGTTGGCCATATGGTGAGTGGTTGTTTTGTAGTAGTGCAGTGATACAAATGACCAGGAGAAGAAGCAAATATGTTTTGTCTCTCAGTGGTCACAAGGAAATGGAGTACAATGAGCAGGATTGATTTCAAGAATGATGAGGCTGACTCTTCCTGTCAATAGTGTGGGCACTCAAGCTTGGTGTCTGGTTTACTGATAACTTGTGGAATAATAGAGGCTTGATATATTTGACAAAAAAAGTATTGTGGCATATATATAAAAATGCATTTGCAGTAGGTACATAGAAGTGAAATCCTAAAGATAGATTCTACTTTTGCTTTAAGTAACAGAGCAGTATCTAAAACATGTCTATTTTAGTCACTTTTCCAAAGTCTATTTGAGGAACAGGAAGGTGTGAAACAAAGAACAGGTCATTAAATAATAGAACAGGTCATTAAATAATTCAAAATTGTACCCAAATGGAATGGGGAATATCCTTATAGTAATGTTTTTGTTCTCCTTTCCTGTCAATACTGTTGCTTTGAACAATGCAAGAATTTAATGTTTCCAGCAGTTCTCTACTTCCTGATACTGAACTATTCTGATTAAAGCTCTGTTAGAACAGCTTTAGCACCTCTTTGATATTATTATACTAAAATGTAAAAATCAATTTACTAATCATATCTAATGATAATTCTAACTAAAGCTTTCTAATGTTGCTGTGAGAAGCACCATTGTAGTTCCACTTGGTGTTCTTAAAAGGTGATTCAGCAGTCACACCTGGCTCTCAGGTACACCTGGAACAGTCATCTCCTATCCAAAGTATCGGCTATCTACAGGGAAAAGCCATTTGAGCTAAATGCTTTCTTACTATTTCTGAGATTTATCAGTCTTTGTTATGGGCTGTGTTCTCTGCTGTGAGTGTATGTTCCTCTTTTTATTTTTGGTTTTTTTTTTTTTTTTTCTGATCTCTGGTGCTCTGTGCCCTCAGGCTACTGGCAAACACAAGACTTCTGCACTTAAGTGGAGTGCCTGCTGTGAGTATGATTGAGAAGGATCACTCTGTCTTGGTCAGCTTTGTTCACAGCAAGCATGCTAGGTGAAATTGCTATGTGCTGATGCTTCGCTTGCTGCACTGGTAGCTGACATTAGTTAATAGATGTGCCATTTTTCTGCTGCATCAAGATGAGTGTTTCCAAAGCTGGAGTTGGCAAAGTAAATAAAATTAGTACAGTGCTTTATAAAGCTCCTTATTGTGATAGGCATTTTAAATAAAAGCTCTTGAAGTTACAATTACGGCACACCATTTAAAATAAAGCTGTCAGGAGCATATGCACAGCTAGACAAACACTGGCATGACACAGGCCAAAAATAATGAAAACATAATTGTTTTAGTGGAATGTGAAGGTGTCAGGATATTGCAAAATAGTTAACGTACAATACTGACAGCCAATTGGTTTTTTTTTCAGTTGTAGAAGCATTTTTCCTGAGTGACAGAAATGAACAGTATTTAGAAGTTGAACTTTGTCCGTAAGTACAACACTCAGAAAAAGTTACAAATGTTAATTTTCATTTCCAGTTGTAATGCTTCTAAGACACATGTACAAGAAAGACTGGATATGGAAATTGTTCCAGTATGGGGAATGTGCACGTTTGTGGCAGAACAGTGCACTAATAACTTGGCATTATTTTAAGAAAATTATGCTCTGATTTTTTGACAGCCACGGACAACACTTGGTGTTGCTGCTTTCTGGCAAAAGAAGAGTATGGAAAGTAAGCGGTAAAGTACATTCATAATGTACAGAAAAAACTATCTGGTTTTAGGTACCTGTTGCCTGACTGGAAGATGACAATAACTCCTTTTTCCCTCCTTTAACAGGAAGAACTTCCTTTAGAGTTTGAGGTGACCAGAATGAAAAACAAATGGGAGGGTAAAGCTCATCTTCCTTGGCATTATTTTCCACCGTGCACTAACAAGTTCAATGCATTTGCAATTCATGGCTCAGGAGAAGAGAGAAAATATGAAGCGCTTCATCCTGTGCCTCAACATGAATTACAGGAAGGACAAAAACCAGATTTGTAAGCATGAAATTATCTCTTCTGTAATATAGTTGCACTATTCTTGGGATACTTAAAGAAAGCAAACCTGATGTTCAGGTTGAGTGCCACTAGGATTTTAATTAGACTGGTTAGCCACAGATCCATGGGCACTGTACTTTGTATAAAGCGCTGCGGCAGATAGCTGTAATTAGTGCTTGATTTCTGTGTTATCCACGAGGTGCATAGCGAATTATGCATTCAACACCATTGGCATCTGTTTTATCACCTTCCTCAGCTAAATCATAGATAGGTTGTTCTACTTTTTCCTTGCCTCTAGCACCTCCTGAAATGCTACTTAGTGTTAATTTCACCAGATACATTTCCGGTAAATCTCTTTTGCTTCTCCCCTGCTATTCTAAACAACCTCACCTCTACAGATGGCTCCATATGATGGAAAAATTTGGAAAGGCAGACTAAAGTGAAAAGTGTATTAAAAGAATACCCAGTTTCAATAGAAAAAACTCAAATACGTTGATTTTTAAGTTGTGCTTTGGGCCTGTTTGTTTTCTTTGAGTGTGGGGTGAGATGATTTGATACAAAATGCCCAGAAGCAGCAGTTTTTATAAATGAACTAGCTTTAGAGGTCCACGATAGTTCTTATACTAACTTGTTAGTCACCATAAAATGACAGCCAGGTAAGGTAAATTTTAGATGTTACCCTTTTTTGCCTTTCTTTAAGAAAAACTTAGCTTCTGCAAATGTTTACTTTAAAAAAAAAATCAAAGCTGTTGCAAATGAAGTATATTCTCTTTATCAGTATTCCATAAGAAATAGATATTTTATTTTTCTGGGGTAAACTGGAGAGTGCCTGTAATATGTTTCAAAAAGGGATTATTTCTGTTTTTTCTATAGTACCTCTTCCAAAAAACATCCTTGACTTTTTCAGAAATTGGTAGCAGATGCAAATATGTGAAGAGGTTGCTCCTTGCTACTTTCATTGCTCTTAGTTCGTTTTCACTCTTGCAAATTACTTCCTAATAAGAGAATTCCATTTGCCTTTTTAAGTGGTTAGTGTAGTGTTAAATGTTCTATCTACTGTTTGTCAGTTTTTTAATGTAAGTATTAATTAGCAATTGGCTTCAGTGTTTTCCTTCTATTGTTTCTGTATGGTAGCCTAAAGGAGAAGTTCTTAGCATGAACTGATTTCATAATGTTTAAAAGAAAATGAGACTTCTAGTCTTACAGAAAACATATATTTACCGGCTTCGTTATCCTGTCCTGCCTTCCTCTTTTCTGGAGATGATAGCCCTGTGATAGGATTTTTCAATTAGTCAAGAGTTGTAAATGCTATTTGCTTCGTGGGAGTGCAGATAAGTCATAAAGCAGGACAACACTGTGCTCTTGCTCTGACTACAGAGCCAGGTAACATAAGCTGAGGGAGATGAAAAGGTGAGCACTCTGTTAACTTCACTTTGTGCTGTGTGGTACTTGTTCATAGCTGAGGGTTTTGCCCTGTGTTTTCCAGTACAAGATTTTCAGAAAGACAGTAGTGGTTTTATTTATAAACTCGGGTTTTGGAAAATGAACACATGGAATGATGGTTACATTCCTGTCCAAGAAAACATGAAAATAAAGATTAATTAAACCTCTGGAGGATACTGCCTTTTACTAAGACACTATAGGACTCATAGCTTTTTTTGTTTTCTTCTTCTCTTTGCAGTCATCGCCTGGAATTTTTCAAAGAATTGAACCTGAAAGGACTAATGGGAGAAGAATGGAAGCAGCCTGAATCAGATATATGGAAGTCTCTCTCTAATTAAATGGATTGAGACATAAATTTTTGTAGCATTAAGGTTGAATGAAGCTATATGGAAACACCTTCTTAATTTTGAGCAGCGTTCGTAAATATCAGATTAGCAAGGCTTGTCTTGACACCAAAAGCATGGATCGATCTTAAAATCAACTGTAAAGTATCTGGGCCAGTCGATTTTAACTGTATGAAGTATGCAAGGGCTTGTGTTTCAGTTCATCTGGGTATGGAGTTTTTCATCGGTGCAAGAGATGAATCTACTCCTACTGATGAAGGGCAAAAAGTGCTACAAATACAACTGTGTTTTCATGAGAGCTCTAAGCCTCACAAGGTCAATATCTGCCTTGGAGTCTTTCGGTTTCCTCTAGTTGCTGCGTTTCTCCTGTATTTTCACTGCTGCTTGTTTGTTTCTTGGCTGTTGAATGAGATAATATACCTAAAGTTTTTGGTTGCAACCAGGAGAAAGAATGCCTCCTTCAGGAACAGAAAAGCATATGGCTATCATGGCATTTGGTGGCCCAGTACTTGCATTGCAAGATGCTGTGGAGGTGTAACACAAGCCAGTCCCTTTCCTATGTGTTCCTATACCTGAAGTTTTCCCTTGCACGGTGCTGAAGTTGGAACATAATTTATGTTACTTTATTAGCAGACTTCTGCTTCAAATTTAGTGTGGAATTTCTAGGGATATTTAGGTACAGAAGGTAGACTTTCAAAAGGTTTGATGCATTCCAGGAAAAGTTTCTGGGAGAGAGAATGTTTAGTAAAACTCTTCTATATGGTTGTGTGCCTACAAAAGCTTGTTTGTTACCGTAGAATGGTCTGGGTTGGGAGGGACCTTTGAAAGTCATCTAGTCCAACGCCCTGCAATGGCCAGGGACATCCCTGTTTGGCCTTGTTCCAAGGCCTTGTCACATTACCTTAAGGATTCAGCGCAGATGTAGGAGAATTTTGTTTCATGCCACTTAACCTTGGAAATAGTCTAATTTTATGTGTCCACATGTGGGCATGGATATTTTTAACAGTACTCAATACTGTTAGCTGGTAAAATCTAATCTGTAAATACTTACAGGATTTACAAATGAGATGTTCCTTTTTTTGTCTAGCATAGAAAGTACTGCTTGGTTGTGGCTGCTGAATTGTTCCTATATGAATTAACTTAGAAAATGGGAAGCTTACCCAGTAACCAGATCCTACATCTGAAAAGTAGGTGACTTTAAAATCAAACTTCTTTTGGTTTAGTTCAGAATGAGGATTCAGACTAAGACACGGTCCTCAGTCCTTTACTGGTGAGGACTTGTTGCATCCTGTTGAAGTGTTGTCCTCGCAGGGTAAAAGCTGGTCGTGATCTCTAGTCTGGGAGAAGGATTATTTTGGGAGCCTGAGAGAATGTCTGAGTCATAACTGAAGGAGTACCTTTCAGAAGTTATGCCCTGAGGCTGTGGTGTTGGGTGTCATCCTTTTGTGTAGCATTTTCTACTGAGCGATTTAGAATCCTACAAGTTCTTGGAAGGGACTAGTGCTCTTGTAGGCTAACATCCTGCTCAAAGCAGTTCTGTCATTGAAACTAGGTGAGTTTGCTGAGGGCCTTGTCGAGTTTTGAATAACTCTACAGGTAGAGCTTCAAATGCTCTGGGTAACTTGTTTCAATACTCAACTAGTTGTGTTACGAAAATGTATCTAATTGCCATTTCCCCTGCTGTCCTTCTCAGTTTGCCTTTTGTGACTCTCATTAGTAAGCACCTTCCACTCAGATAATGCTGACAGACAATTTTCAAGTGTAACATGGGTTGTAACTCAGAGGCAGAAATGCTCACAGGCCTTTCTTGGTTTTTTTACGTCATAAATGAATCTAAAAATCTTGTGTGTAGCTTTAGATGTAAAAATGAACATAAAGTTTTGCACCAGAGTGCACTCTGAAAGTCGTATTTCTGAAAGGATTTTCTGTTCTCTTCTGAGCTTGTAATAAACATGGTCTGATGGTCATGTTTTCTATGTTATCTTTAAATTTAATTCTACCTGTAGATTCTGTACAAGAAGAAAAGAAGATGGGAATATCCTGCCTTTGTGAAGAACATCTTGGTGTGATTAATATCTGTGGGATAGAATGTTACTTCAGATTTTTTGTTTGGCTTTAATTCCCTCTTTTTACTTTCAGTTTTATAGAACTATACTTTCAAATTCAAGGATTTTAGGCTTTTTCAGATGCAGACTTTGGCATGTCAGTGCACTGAGCTGTCCAATTGTTTTTGCTCTCTCTTAATTAGACACTATAGATTCCTTGCTATAAAGTGCCATCTGTTGAAAATTATAAGTATTGTACATTTAATTGTTTGGCTTGTTTTCTGCCTTCAATCCATACACAGTTTTCTAAAGAATGACATCACTCTGAAATATTGACTAATCCAATAAATGTTGATTAAATTTTTTCTTTAGGTACTGACATTCAAAAGCTGGTTTTGAAATTTCAGTCAAAAGCAAAAGAACATTTCACTGTACTTTTAGACTTTGTTTTAAATGCTTTGTCGAAAAAGTGCATGCAAAGGTTCAGGATGAGTTTACTGTCTTTCTCACAAAGGTTGTTTTCTTGTGGTGAATGATGCTTTGTATGTCAGGGACAGTAAATCAAATTACTTATTCAGAGGCTTCATCTCATTCATGCCCACTTCAAACTGACTACTTCAGAATTGACTTTGGATGCAAATTATAAACTTTGAAAGAAGTAGATTACTTTCCCTAAATAAGCAATTTAAAGTAAAATAGTGGTGTCTGTAGTATAAAATGTAATGCTAGATGCTTCTGAGAATGGGAGTTATCATATAGACATTATTCAAGGCACATGCTACTCCACGCCCCTGTCGGGTGCTTCAGTTGTATGTTTCTGAACTTCAAGAGTCTGTCTGAACTGTAAGTGCTGCCCTTCATCTGAAGGTTTCCATATGGGTTCATGGAGTGCAGAGTTGAAACCTGTGCACTGACTTGTTTCTAAAGGTTTAAAGTTAAATTAGTCGCTTGGTAGAAACTTACTGTTTGGGGGCGGGTCTCTACATAAGGCATATTTCAGATGGAAGTGCAGCGTCTTGGCACACGGTAATGAATTCTTGGCTCATCAGTGGACAGTACAGTGCTTGCCAGCATCCCTTGCAGCTCCCAGGATTTCGCAGGATAGGCATCAGTGGTCATTGAGGTGACCAGCTAGTTATAGCTTTCTTGCTCTGATGTGCTTCTTAACCAGGCTTTGTTTTACACTGTGGAGTCCAGCTGTAGCCTGTCTTTCCTGAGTTGCCTCTGGTTTTGATGACGTGCAAACAGGAAGAAAAGACAGAACAAACTGCTCTGCATGAGTTCTATTTAATTATATGTTCGTTAATTGTTATTCCTGCTCTAGAAAGAATGTGACTCAGTCCAGTCTAGCTCAGTGTATGTGCCTATGTACATGCATGCATATGTAGGGGCATTCATCATTGTGCTGTTTTTATATGTCAAACTTGTATCAAGAATCTGATATGTACAGATAAATTCTCTAAATTGTCACACTAGATATACTTTATGTAGGATATCAATTTCATAAAATGCAGCTCTGCATTTTATGAAAGTATAGATCATGGAAGCACTCTATCCACAAATCCATTTCATTTTGAAATGGATTTAAGCACTTCAACCTCAAGAGCATTTCTTAGCCATTACTCTTTAAAAATATCAACCTGTCTCATAAGTTCCTGTGGGTAATACTTGGCTTTTTGTCAGTTATATCCTGATATCCCATATTGGGTCTAAGATGCACGAATTTTATTACTTTGGAAAAGGGGGAATATGCATTGAGAGGTGCACAGTATTTGAGTTTTTTTTAGCTCTGCAAAGGCTTTAGATAACCTTAAGTGTGACATGTGGAAATGTCAATGTTGTGGCAATTTTTAATTATTTTACCATATTTGTCCAGAATTCCTAAGGAACTGAGACTGATGGCTTATCTCTACCTTCTTGCCTTTTTAGCAGGTTTGTCTTCACCTTTTTCCCTACTACCGTAATGATTTTTAAGTCAGTTAGCCAATTTCAGCTGAACCAGGCAGAGGAACAGACAGTCTTAAAAGATACTGGATTCTTGCAAATATGTGAATGTGGACAGCTGGAGGCAGTTCCTCACTATAGCACCCCCCAGTGAAGAAAGAAGATGTAATCTCTTAGGCCTTATCTTGTAGGTGTAGTGAAGCAGTTGGTGCATGCTTAAATTCAGTTATGGTACATAGACCTTCTTGCCTTTAGGCATTGATTAGGAAACTAGGAAATATGTGGAACTTAAGGGATATGAGCTTACAGCACTAATCACCTAAAATTTCAGTTGAGATAATGGATATACTTCTGTTGCTTACATAGTGCTCAAAACTAATAGGCATGTTTTTTCCACTGTTGCCAGATAATTCAGCAGAAACTTTTAATTAGTTCTCGCATTCTAGTACAACTATTGCTCTGTCTATAGGGCAATAGAATTGTCTGTCTTAAATAGTTTATGCTGTTGTGCTATTTGATTTACCAAGTTTAATGAAATGCTGAGCAGTTTTGCTGTAATTTTTTCTTTTAATCTTCTTAGTAAATACTTGGCCAGTTGAGGCAGAATGCAGATTTGGATATTTGCAACCACTTACTTAGAAGATGATCAGACTGAATAACCTGAAAAATAAAGATACTGAGCTTAATGAATGAAAAATATACCTGTAAAGAAAAATCTGTCTTGCTTCAGCAATTTTATCTTTTAAGTGCATTTCTAAGCTCCTTGTCATAGTATGTTCATACTTGTGAACTCAGACATGAAAACTAGAATTCTCCGTGACTCAGCCCTCCTTAAAATGTCAGTAGATCTTCATACATTTGGTTAAAAACATCTTATGATTGCACTCCCAAAGACCTTGCTTTTTATGTTTCTTGCCACTAGGTGGAGGAAGAAGGTTATCAAAAGCATGCCTTGGTGCTACCAGCCAAGTTATCCTTATCCAGAGCCACTCCTTACTATATCCT